TACCTAAAAATTCGTCCAGAAACGGATGGGGAATCACCATTGTTTGTATCAAGACAGGGCAAGAAGGTCTCCGTCTCGGCTGTGGGCTCAATAGTAAAACGGTTTGCTGAACACACGGGCCTAAATGGTAGGTTTACGGCTCATTCGTTGAAAATAGGAGGGGCCACAGCAGCAATAGCCGCGGGCATAAGTCTCACACAAATCCGGGCGATAGGAGGCTGGGATTCCAAGACTGTCATATTATATCTAAGGATGGTCTCCACCGCAAAGGCTGGGATCTCGAGAGGCATGGGCTTCTGAAAAAAAAAAAAAAAAAAAGGAAAAGAAAAGGAAGAGGGACGGTAAGGCGGTACCCACCGGTTGGTTGCTGGGGCCCCCTGAAAAAAAAAAAATTGTATTAGAAATTACTGTATACTGATAGGTAAATAGACAAATAAAATAAGAGGAAGGACGCTTAGTTTGCGCTCCTCGAATATTGACCCTCAAAATGTCCGCTCTTCCCTATGCGATCCTCGGCAACAATCCCATACTGTACTACAGGATTAGACACAGTTGTATTGTTGGCCATGGAAATTGTTCGTTCAGTAGGAGGAATAGGTTCCATGACGAACAATAATAATGACCCGCTTGTGAACGAAGTCACAAGGCGGTACATTATTGTGAGTCACTGGACTCTCCATGTGACAATAGGTCACTGGACTTGTCCATGATGGGATTTAATATCTGAGTAACTAGATGATCTTTTTTCTTTGTTCTTGATTTTTACTGCTCGACATTGTGTCCAGCGATCCCCCCACCACACCCAAAAAAAAAAAAAAAAAAAAAAGAAAAAGTAAGAGATTATACGATACTCGGAAAGTCTGTCACGTGACATCATTTGGCTTGTTTGACGACCCTATCCCATACTGTACTACAGGATTAGACACAGTTGTATTGTTGGCCATGGAAATTGTTCATTCAGTAGGAGGAATAGGTTCCATGACGAACAATAATAATGGTAATTCCAAAAAACAAGTCCATCAGATTCCATGTTGCTGAAATAATTTTTTTTTGTGTTGTTGAGTCACTAACTTTGTACTGTAAAGCTATTCGTCGATGTTCAACATTAGTTAACGGCAGATCTTCTTGAATATAGTTGGAATAATTAAGTTTAGAAGTTCCTAAAAAGCATGAAAATACTCTAGTACATTTGCTACACACATGTTTTGAAGAATGCGGAGCTAGTCCTGTAACCTAAATAAAGTAGTTTTTGTCAAATGATTTTGAAATATTAATGTTATTTAATAAATGATTCACTAGTCATCTGGAGAGCTATTTGACGCAGGTTACACAAGATTTATATATAAATTATATATAAAATCTTCAAATAGTAAATGTGGAGATTTTTTAAAGA